TAGATCTTCACATCTGATTTAAATAACATCCTTTTTATTTTCTAAAAGACGATTTTTTTTATAACAGAATGAGCAAACGAGTAGAAGGAACACCGAGTTATTCAATGACGCCTATAGACATCAGCTATCCAGAGGAACCGCAGATGCGTTGCCGGCCTTTGAGATGATGATACGCTCGCTTCATGAAGGATCCTAAGTCGTAGCGGTTTGGAAATACCGCCGAGGATAGACCATTCTCCAACGCTGCTGTGCGAGGCAGGAAGTTACTCGCAAACCGCATGGTTCTTGTAGATGCAATTAAAAATAATCATGTGTCTTGTTGCTACATAATAAACTAGGATTAAATTAAAAAAAAATATGTTCATTTTCTTATTCCTATATGTTTATTTAGTGCTTCGTGAAGGTAATAGTTCGTCCAGGTAATGTTATAAAAAATAATGTTCTAAACAAGAAGAAGAAAAATAAAACACCTTAAATTTTGAATACAATCCAAAAGCGACAAATTGCAGGACAATCTGTAAATCAGTTACAATCACCCTTACTACGAGAATCGTATCACTGCCCAACTCGAATTAAAAAATGTATAGAAAGGGAAAAAACTAACAAATGTCGGGACAAGTAACAAAACACTGGTCGTTGATAACATCGCCACTGGCACAAAGGTAAATCAGGCCGAGCTATTCACGTGCTAACCCTAAATCGCCGTCCAACCCCCTTAATAAACGCTGCCTTATTGTCCCCAAATGGCCATTAACAAAAGGGTGTTTCTTAGAACAGACCACCCATGTAGTCATTGATCCAATTCACCCTGGTCACCATGCGACAGCTATTTTACGTTGTTTATCGCTTCATATTTTACAAAGTCCTTGTGTTATAATGAGATAATTTGTTGTCGATCCTATTGTGTAGTATCAAATACGTCAAGAATTGTTCGTATATTGGAACAAACTAATGCATCGCTTTGTACCTCCCACAAACAACAAAAGTGTTTTTATTACATTAAAAATATAGCTGAATGCAATCATAAAGATGTTTCTAAAAGCGTAGGATTTCGGGCGTCTTCATTATGAATAAAAAAGTGAAAGTTTATAAAGAAAATAAGACGTATCTATTCATTCCAGCAACAATGTTTAACTAGTGGTTTATGTCATATCTAGCGTAACACAGCTTGATATTTGATACCGCTTCAGGTATCATCATCAGCTCACTGTACGTCCAGACTGAGGAGCTCGGAGCGTACCCTCAATTAGGCTGACTAGGCCATAGTCAATCACGCTGGCCCAGTACGGGTTGGTTGACTTCACACGTATCTTTGAATTTCTTCTCAAATATGTGCAGGTTGCATCACGATGTTTACCTTCACCTTAACAAAGTCGGGTAAAGGTACATATATAATTCGGAAATGGAAAAAAACACATTGGTACATGGGGAGTTTAGAACCCAGGACCTGTAGATTGCAGATATAATACGTATAAAAGGTACTTAACACAATTACAGCACGTGTTCAACAAATTGCATTGTGACAATTGACCAAAGGAAAAGATTAAAGATTTCTCGAATAGCCATTCAAAAGGTTGAATGGATCTTTACAAAGATAAAATTGAGGTCCCATGACTATTTAGGGTGTTGACCTTTGACCTTAAATTGCACGAACGTGTTATAAAAGTGCGTTTAAATTCCCGAAGCAATATTACTGACGATAATGTCGTGTAATGGAAACAATACCTCCCAATAGTTGGCCTTTACACTCATGTAATGAGGGGTTTTGTAAACTGATCGAATAAAATTAATTTTTATATTAACTTTAGCGAGATAAATTTTTCTTGATGTTGGTTATTTATTATAAGGGAACTTAAATATTGTTTTACTAAAAGTTGCAAAAAGTTCTCCTCCGTCGATTAAAGGTAGGCAACGCATATGCAATTGCGTATGTCTATGGGCAGCGGTCACTTCGCTATTTCAGCGATTTCAGGTGGCCGCTTGCTCGTTTGCCACCTTATGATATAAAAAAAGTATAAGAATAGCTATCGCTTTCTTTTGGATCATAAGTGTGACTCATTTTTTTCGTTATAAAAGACTATTAGTCACACGCTAATTTAGGATGTGACTGAAATAAGGAATGACAGATGACACATAGAGGAAACCACAGACAAAACTAGCACGGGGCGTTCCCATTTCTCAGATTCAGTGCGTGCGTTATCCGCAACCATAGATAATGCTTGATCGCGTACACAAAATGGTTTAGCGACCACAAAATGTTGGAATGATGCAAGCGTCTATGATATAAGGTATACAACGCATGATTTTTAGGGTCCCGTATCTAATAGGAAAAAAACGATACCTTTATAGGATCACTTTGTTGTCCGTCCGTCCGTCTGTCAAGACCCTTTTTTTCTATAATAAAGCAATCAAATATGCTGAGAAGTTGAGACGTAGGTTATGTACGATTAGTAATTTTAATTGTTTTGCTTAAAATAAGCTGCAATGTAGAATAATTATTACAAAATAGTAACATGAGGTAATAAACGGTTCAATTTATTTTGTATTTGTAAACATTTGTTAACTCAACGTTAACCAGTCCACGTAATAAGTAAAAACAATGGCTAAAATTCAAAACAATGATTATATTAACATCTCAATGTAGGTCACTAAAAGGAAATCCTGCTCGGTTTAGTGGTACAGTGCAATACAAACTTTATGGCAGTACAGAATATCACAAGATGTATATAACTTTATTGCACACATTTATCAATATCGTAGTGCCAACCTGCAGACAAATGCTTGGAGCTAACCGTGACCATCCATAAACTTTGAGTTTTATTATACCTAGATTTTTAAGGCTGAATCATACAGCACAAAACTGGCGTATCATTGACAATGATAATCTTTTAGTATGCGACGTAAGTCTAGACCACTACAGATGTGTCGATGAATTATTTATATAGGTACATCAATTGGTCACTCCTGTTGTTTTTAACAAAGGAAATGAGCAAATCATTACGAAATGTGTACAAAAAAAATTATGATGATAAATAGAAGATTATGTCTGTTCGAGTGTTACATTTTTTATATCGTGCAACATTAAATGCTACGTTTTTCGACAGATTTCCTGTACATTTACGAATCGATTCATTAATGTCACTTGCACGCGTTTGCATCGTTATTTTGTTTGTAAACGTTGACAAATGAACATCGGGAGATATGTAGAGTGCAGATTTAAGGCGTTCATACACAGAATGATTTATTTCGCAATACAAAAGCTAAGCTTAGTTGCTATACGTAAAATAATATTTCAACTTATCATAAAAAAAAAACTTTTTTGATTTTTGTGTATGTCACAAATCCGAAATCAACAGCTGAATATTAATTTAAGTATAATTATAACTGCTAGAAGAATTACGTAAATTTTATAAACATTTTGTTAATATTAGCCTTTTACTTATATATTTGTAAAATATAATAGAATCTCTTAATTTTGTAAAACAAATTCATTACTTCTTTAGTCTATGGCCGTCTAATGCTCGACTTGCGACGTGTCATTGAAGTATAAAATTGATGGAACAGGAAACACTAAGATAACGTTGTTAAGAATTAAGTATTCGCCTCGCGATAATTTGCATTCCGTGTGTAATGCCCTTAAGTGAATTTGATAGATGACATCAGGTCTTTTATGCATTAGTCTATGCATTTTGTCTACTCGGCTCTACCATTATCAGGAAAATGAAAGTATATCTATGGTCAGTACATAATATTTCAAAGATGAATATGGATTTGTCATATTTATGATAATTGCAAGAGTGTAAGTGATAGTAAACTGTTTGTCTGTATCTTTAGACAGGAAATAAAATTGATCGTTCATTTAAAAAAATGATTCTAATCACATAATGTTACCGTCTCTAATAAAATAAATGAGCATCATCTAAAACTGCGTCAACCCTATCGCTGTAAGCGCGCTAAGTGACAGTTTAAAAAGTGAAATTCCAAAGGGAAAAAATCGATTCGAAAAATCGAGAACAATTCGTCTTCTGTCCTATTAACGATTCACCACCCGGGAACTCATTACCGCATTTAACACGTGTTAAGTTGAAAGAAAAAATATCGTAAAAGCTCCTGCCGAAGATTCTCATGGACGACGCGTAGAAATTAATCGTTCACATTAATTTTAGGACGCGGGGATCCTTTTTAGTAATACGCCGCAACATCACAGATAATTTAATAAAAATTCATAAGATTTTACAAAAGTGAAAAAATCGAGTAAAATGCATACTATGTTTTATACTTATCGATGTTTTGATTATAAGGTAGATAGATTCCGAAATCCATTATGAGAAGAGCTCACAATAAAAAAATGTGTTTTTCCGTCAGGATCAAATTTGACATTAAAAATAAACAGCGAGAAATACAATGGCAATATATTTCTTGTATTAGTTTAGCGAAGGCAGTCATCAATAAACGTTAGATGTATAAAAGGGGAGAAGAGGGCAGACAAAATTGTCGTCTCGGCACATTTCGATTCGCCGACGACGAGAAGAAGTCTAATAGGTTAAAATAGTGCTGGGATTTTAATAAAATATTATATAAAATGTTTAAATGTATTTTAAACATGAATTACCTAAAATAATTTTTATTTCTGAACGGTGCAAGAGGTCAAGAACGATTCAATACTGAAACACACGCAGATTTCCGAACGCAAGTTCAAACGTCAAATAGTTTTTTATGTCTGGTGCGGCGCAAGCGAGCTATTTTTAATTATTGCCTTCAACATTTTATTAATAAATAAATGACTTAGCTTTACAGTGTTAAGTTTACACTACACATAAAGGATACAATATCCCTAACTGTCTATAATAATAATCAACGTAACGATATTCTATACACAAAAATATAAACTGAAAGATGAGATCGGAATGATAACTTTTTCTTGTGGTTCGTTTATTTTTATCAATCAATGTTTATTTTCATAATGTGATATGTTGCTGGGTTAATTATTGATTACTCACCTTTGTTTTCAAGGCATATACGGTGTTTGTCTTGTTGTACGATCTATTCGCAACATATAAAACAATAGCACCTCCAAACACACACGCACAAGTGGTCCATGCAGTTTTATGGACATTTTTATAACTCGCAGAACTTATATCGCGATTTAAAATTGGTAAAACGTTTAATTTTTTCAATAATTTGGTAGACGTACGACCTAGGGTGGCCATGTTGACAGAACAGCTGATTGTCGTGTGAGAGAGAAAACTGAGGGGAAAAAGAAATAGCACATCGATCGCGCATGCGCGCACCATGCTTTATTTGACAGATTTATGTAATTTATACAAAAATCTTAACAATTTTAGATTGTAGAAATTATATTAACTCTAAATACTCGACTTTATTTCTGTCATATTAAATTTCAGTTACTATTAAGTTGCTCTTGAGGATAACTGAGGATTATGAAATGCATGTCATGTCAAGGATGTATTTTTAAATAAAATTAGAGAGAATATTGCAGTTCTATAGTAGTACTTGTGTGCATATGACAGCTAAATAGATGTTGATACTTAGACTACTGGTCAGCAAAATACATTTAATTTTAATTATAATAGGTACCTTTTTGCATAAAAATGAATCATAACTTCTGGTCTATCTATATGTATTGTCAAACCTTTTCATCTGATACAAAAACCTTACATTTAGCAAAAGTATTTTCCACTGTTTGGCAGATGCATTAATGTAGTTCGGACTCACCGAGCGAGTTCACTTAACAAGAGAAAATTTTGTAGCATTGAATGTGTTGTAATTGTGGTCTTCCAACATCATATAAAAACAATTCCTGGTACTTTGCATTACTATGGGACATATGGTATATTAAATTAAAATAAAATCTTTAAACTTATTTATTTATAACACTTTTATTTTTAATATGGTTGGATTTAACACACAATCCAGATTTAAACAATTTGCCAGTACTTTACACAATAATTTTAATAGTTTGTACATAATCCTTACCAATAATTACCGATAAACTATTTTACGACTTAGTATCATTAATGGTATGTTTGGTAATATTTTATATTACTTAGGTAAAGTAACTATCCTTCCACCACTCTAACACTATCAATAACACTTTGGACAATATTATCTGGATCTTTATCAATCATAATTCCTTCCGTAGATATTTGAATATTTTCATTTTTTGCCGAAGAGCTATGTGTAGTATCCATTTCCTGTACAGTGCTTAAAACAATCCGTTTCACAGATTCAATATTATCGTACACTCCGTATTCTGCCTGCCATAGTATAGTTGTTATTAATTGTTGAACATTTACACTTGTTTGGTACGATTTGAATTTCCTCAATTTATTACCGATATATTCACCAAACACTGCATATTCGTCTTTTCTAACTTCTGTTGTGACAGTGTTAAGTCTTGGGTGTGTATTTGGTTTATATGTAGATGGTTTACGATTGAATGCATAGCTTCTGACTGATTTAGGTGAGGTAGGTGTTGTAACTTCCCTTTTTACTCTTCTATATTTCACTTTGTTCTGTTTAGGTTCGTATGTCTCAATCCATTCATCTTCTAACCATTCCTCGTCGGAATTCTGTCTTTCATGTTCATTCATTGTGGTGTCAACCTCATCGTTGTTATCAATATCTGTTTCCGAGTGTTCTAAAACATCAACCTGTAATAAAAAACATATAGTGAGAGACAGAAAAAAGTAACAGTATTATTATTGCAAAGGCACAACGCACATTGCATAGAAATTTCATTTAAAATTATGATTTTAATGTGTCCTATGTCTAGTTATCTATACTTGTCGTTGTTGTATTAGTTATTTAAGGATAAATTATAGAAAATATAGGATATTACTTGTAAAAGATATCTACTTGGTCATTCTTTAAATAATTTCAAGTAGAAAAGGTTTTTTTATATAACATACTTTAAATAAGTGTCAATAACCATGACCAATCTCTAGATACAACACTGCAAGTATCAAACTGAAATTATTATTGTATTTTCATGTTCATATTATGTAACAGGGTTTTTTATCTTCTTAGAAGACTCTTCATAATAAAAATAATATAAAAAGCTGGCTGAAACATTTCTCATGATGTTTATTCTTGCTAAAATCATTCATAAGTAAAATAAATCGATTGTTAAGAAGTCGATCTTACTTTATATTGCAATTGATACTTTAATCGACATATCAATAACAAAACAGCAAGATAACATAATTATCAATATGATAACGACAGTCAAACTTAGGTATTTACAATATAGTACATAGGACTTTAAGAAACAGCTAAATTAGATTATAGGATTAATACCTTCAGATATTTTCTTCTTTTCGGAGCCACCGACTGATTTGTATTTTCATCATCATCAAACGTACGAAATGTTGATTCGTCGAGTGTACCGTTCTGCAGTAATTCCCACTGAATCGGATGTTTATTAACCAAATGTGTTCTTAAGTTTGTTGTATTACCGAAATATTTATATTGCGTATCACATAATTTACACAATACCGCCACACATCTCTTATTTTCTTCTAACCGATCGAAGAATCGCCAAACCAAAGACGATGTTTTCTTCATTGCTTAATCGATTAATCTTTGATCAATTTGCCGCCAAAAACTCAGATGAATATTGAACCGAAACCGATTATGAGCCCGTATCGAATCGAAAGATTTCACAAACTTCGAGCTTGTAAAACAAGATGGCGAGTTGCGAGCGAGTGAACCATCGAGCAAAGTACGACCTTCGTTCGATACAATGGCTGCCGAGCGAGATGTGAGAAAATCGATGCGGCGTTATCAGTCGCCCAACGCTAACGTACCATAGACTGCACAATTTTTTTTAGTGCATAAAATTGGAAAGAACTAGTTTCCATTTTCTTAAATAAATTAGATAAAAACTAGATCAAATAAAATGATAAAACTTATTTTTTATATGATTCTAAAGGTTAATTCACACTATAAAATGAATACAATTCGTTTAGAATGCTTTTATTATTCACGTTGACCAATTAAATTTTTATTCACAAACTACCCGATTGGTCAAAATGACGGTACACTTCAGTTTGAATTGTTCTTAGAAGTCAGTAAAAAAGTATTTCTAACCGTATTTGTGTGTCCTCTATACAACCAAAATATAGTTTTAAGTAAAAGTTGATGTGATTAACCTGCTCATTAATGAATTCTGACATGGGACAGAATAATTAAATTCTTCAGTCCCCAGACTGTATTAGTTTTTTTTTACTTGTTGTAAATATTTGTAAATATTTTTTGATTGTCTTGTCCATTTTTTGACTTCGTTATGTCACCAAGAAGATGACATCTATTGTTCGATAGCAGCGCTGGATCCGACTGGACTGTTCATGGACAAAAACAGCATATTTCTGTACTGTCTACTGTTGTTTTTGTCTCAGTTTAGCGCTTAGGGATCTAAGTACAACATTCTATTAATTTGTTTTCTCATTAATTTATTAGATTATTTTTGTATTGGGTTTTTTGTTGCTGTTTCTATATTTCCATAATGGTCAAGAGAACATTTGGGGCTATCTGGTCTGATTAATAAATATGTATGTCGTTTAGAAAATAGCTGGTTATTTACGTGGCAATTTTGTATTAATCTAGTAGCATGGGGATGGTATTCTATCTTTTAGTAGGTATAATCTATGTGTGTTAGTAAAATGAAACATCAAACTGTATTTCAAGATTTGTTTTATTTATTTGTCGGTAAAAGAGGCTGTAAAAAGTTTATTGTCTAAAAGTTCCGATCATTCTTCATTTGGTAAACCTACATATAAACGTGATTTTTTTTAATCTACTTTAGAAAGTTAAGATTATACACATCTTTTAAAATTCTTTTATTGAAATTGTCCGTAATTTGTACAAATATGCGTCAGCAGCGCGAGCATTCAGTTAAAATTATTATATAAGGTAAAGGTATAGAAATTAATACTGTTTGACCCCTCTTGACGTTCCTAAAGAGAATGTTGGGGTTTACGGAGCCATGTGTTGGTGAAAACGGTAAATATTAAAGATTTATCATCGGTAAATTGTATAGACTCGGCTAATTGCTTATCTAACACATTCACAGCGTGACGTTTTATATTTTGACAGTTTGTAATGTTGACACGTTATTGGGTTTTCAAATAACTGTCATTAACTGTCACTTTACGTAACGTTATTATAATTGGCTAATACAAACATGTAATAATATTAGACCCGGTTTCCGGACGGAAACCGATCGTAAAATCGAATACATTGAAATCGTTTCTCGAAATCGATTTAGGTGAATTTATGTTTATCGGTTAATGTAGAACAAAACAATAGTGTTTCCATAACTCCCAAACAAAATATTCTATAATTAACCGCTAAGTGGGTTAGTTTTCATTTGCTCGTTCAGTATAATGTATTAATTCCAACTTAATACCATGGCTCCGTATTCCTGACAAGTTCTCGTGAATTATTTATTACAATAAATTGCGAAAATAGGACAAAGACATTGGAAATCAACAATATCCCCTCAATCGGTATATAAATCCTGATAATTAGATATATTATGGCACTTGTGTATAAATAACATATAACATTAACTTGTATTTTACATTTCGGCAGTATAAATAATGTAAACTCACCTAATAATTTCACATAAGACCTCTTTAACATCGGACAATATAATTTTAAAGTTTTATTTACACAGGCAACATTTATTAAATTATTTCATTATTTTTAGCGAAAATATTTATATATTATTAGGAATATTTTAAAATCTTCGCATGAAAAAGGTCTTTTGCAATATGAAAATATTAGGCTCGTTTTACATCGCGTTTATCATAAAGTTCTCTTTATATTATTATTTTAATGACATTGACATTGACAGTTCAATTCGTCCAATTACTGACATTACTTACAGCGACTACAGAATATAAAACTAATAAAAAGTAGATATTGTAATGGAGAACATTTTTACAATATCCAAATACTGGTGCTACTCTAATTTTAAAATCGCACGGTTTAATTTACATACAATACGATAACGAGTAAAGTATTTATAAACCCGATAAATCGATTATTTTTATTCAATCGAAAAGGACACAAATCGATACATCGATGTAATGTCACCGATGTTTTTTTAGACAAAATAAATGCTTTATATTGTAAAAGATTGCATGTCATTTTCGCGTGATTTTTTTAAATAAAATACATACATCATAAATAAACTGCAATATCATTCAACTAAAATATGTAGGTACATTCATAAAGCTTGTTGCACATGTTTCCGAAACCCTTGACTAAGATTCAGCGAGTGATATTAAGTAGGTTATAACAAAAAAAATACGTACACTATTTAAAATCATTAAAAAAACTACGAAATAAAGTTCCTCAATAAAGGAAAAATAACATTACCGTTGCAATTTAAATTATCTTGGCAGATCAAAGTTAAACTGTCAAATTATACTTTAAATTAGAATTGTAGATTGTCCAAATTGAATTCGCTGAATCCCATAGAAGTTTCATTATAAACTACATACAAAAATGCGAGGGTTCAATAAAACGAATGTCACCGCGCTTCGAGTACATACAATCACAATTAAAGCGTCCATACTCTATACAAAAACCATTTAAAAGCACATATCGCTAACGAACCGAGTACAATAATATAATACACAAAATTGGCTCACTAAAAGTACAAGCGTATGAAATCCTACGTATCTACATTCGGTTGGAACTAAGGGGACAAGAGAATAATAATAATTAAAAAAAAATCAACTAAAACGTTAACAAAATACGACTTTCTCTATGGAAAATAAATAATTTACAAATTAGATACACGTTTTAAAAGTTATCTACTAGTAGTCACTTCATCTCCGTTAATTGATTATCACTAATTCATTTTTTTCAATTGACCAGAGTCAAGCGGTCTTGAATCGATGTGTTATTCGAGAATAGCATCTATCGATAACAACACAATAATGTTCCAATTTTTTTTAAAACAAACAAAACAAGGCCGCTTGTCTATGGTATTTCGAACTTATAAAAATAGCCAGCCGTCCGCCGCACAATGCCTTACCTATTCCGAAACCAACAAACCTACATTACTCAGTCATATATTTTCAGTCAATTTCTTATGAAATTAATCCCCCAATCATCCAACTAAGTACAAAACCTTTCTACGATTCCTGTCCGTGTCCACAATGCAATGAAGAAACCATAGAGTTAGTATAGTGACATTTTTGACAGATAAAAAGTACGTCAATTTCATTTGAATAAGCATGGCGGAAAGGAGATTGAGCGGGAAATTTACTAAAGGAACGGAAAGATATTATAGTGTCTATTAATTCATCAATTTGTTTTAATTGAAACCAAAAGCTCAGAGGTTTGTGTGTCTTAAGGTTTAATTATTCAAACTTTCGGGAGACATTATAATAAACTTATATAAAAACGGCTAAACACTCACATATATCGTATCGGGGGCCCTTCATCGGAATGAATAGTACTGGTATTATTTCGCGGACGCGGCCCGTCGCTCACTGATGAAGGGCCCCCGATGGGCTCGAAACTAGTCGGTGCCGCCACCGGACGAATATACGTGAGTGTTTAGCCGTTTTTATATCTTAAGGTTTGTTATGAACGTTGAAATGTTTTTGACATGACACCAGTGACAAGTGGACACGAACAGGAATCCTACAGCTAACCCTAACACAGTTCCTTACCAAACGATAATCTTGACACATTTCATATTATTCCATTCGATTAAATTTATTATTACTTTATCAATATCATCTACGTTAATAATTTCATGACAAATAACAGTAACTAAGACAATTGGAATCTTGCCGATAAACCTACGTTTTAAAGCGAACTAGGAATATAAATTGAGATAGATAATTTCAGTAGCTTTGGTAGAATAATATCATTTCGTTATTGTTACACGTTGCAGCTCAGACATCGTTTTGTTCATTTGATGCGATTCGATTGAGTATTTTATTACATTTAATATACAAAATAATCATAATACTCGAAGCAACCTCGGCCTTGAAGCGGCGAAACGGGTCACCGGCGCACTCATTTCAAATTTACAAACGGGATTGTCCAAATCGGGGATTGCCGCTTGGGACCGGTCATATGGTGAAAAAGTTTCATCCATAACCTGTTTTGTTAACTAATTATGATATATACAAGTTCACATATTATCTTCATTTAACACTAATATAGTTTGTTTTGGATAATTCAATGATATAATGGCAAATAGACCGCGAGGTGACCGCTGTTTCGCCGCCCTGCGCTAGAGTGTAAGGTCGGCTAGTGGACCGGGGAGTGGAGCGTGTGCGGGGCGCGAGGGGCGGAACGTCGGTATTGTGCGAGCGCGACGGCGGCGCCTAGGAGCAGCGGGCTCACGCGCGGCCGACCGCCTCCTGCGCGGTCGCCGACCGAAAAAACTCTGCATCGGTGGTAGACATGGTCGACATGGTCGATTCGTCCCAGGTCACCTCCGTCGTGGTGGTCGTGCCGTTGTCGTGTTTTCTCCTGCCCTTAGGATGACGCTGCTTCTTCTTCGGATCGTTCGCTTTCTTGTGCTTTCGCTTGTGCCTCATGTTCTGCTTTTGTAGGCGTTTGTGGCAGTTCCTGTGGAAGGGCGGCGGGCGTTTGAGCTTGCCGCGATGCCGACGTGGTGGGCACTGCGACTGCCGCGGCCCGTCCCAGCGCGTCGTCAGCGTGAGCGCGTACCCGGAGAGATTGCCGAGCGGTCGGCTGACTGGGATCTGCGTGCGGCGTGACCTGCCGCGGTTGTCGAGCGCGAGGTACGTCTTCTTGCCGGCGCGGATCCGCGAGTACGTGTTGTAGTTGTTCTCCTCTATGTGCTCCTCGAACACGCAGTCGTCCGACAGATCCTTCTGAAACAAACAAATATTATGTTTACTAATTTTATCCATCTAAACATGCATTTACACAATCCGATAAATCGTCACGATTCAAAAACTGAAGATCCCGTTGCAAAGCAGCAAAATATTCTAACAGGTTAACACTATCCTTAACAATTTATGAACTGCTATACAAGTGTATTTCCTTTATTCAGACATAAATTGTCAATTTATCTGTACTATTCAATGACCAAACATAGTACTGGAGATTAAATAGAATGAATTTGTCGCGCGCAAGTCACTTATTAACGGACCGACATTCAACAGTTGTAAGCGAGCGAGCTTTCAATGTTGCCTTTCTAAACACGTCCCATTATCAATATCTAAGGAGAGTTTCAACAGAGCTATTCGTGTTTGTTGGCCACCGGCTCGATTCACCAGCTAATAGGTAGAATACATCATAGTGCTGTACAAGGACCGACAATTTGAAACTTTAAATTGCTACCATCCTTTTATGATCAGCGCCGACTGTGCTAAACTATGAATACAGATAAATAATAAGAGCAAAAAACTAAGGCCGCGGTCACAAATTTGCGACAAATAGACGACGCGACAGGCGGAGCGAGACGTACATCGCAAATATAGTAAAACGAGAGGGAACGGAGCAATACTTTCGTATAGATCGCTCCTGGCTAATTCGGTGTCCGCGGCTTAAGAATGCGTTGTGAATAGAAAATAATTGACAGGTTATCATCATCATCAGCGTCGTCCCCACCGAGGGGCTCGGAGCCTACCCTAAGTTAAGGGTGATTAGGCCATAGTCAACCACGCTGGCCAAGTGCGGGTTGGTTGACTTCACACATATCTTTGAATTTCTTCTAAGATATGTGCAGGTGCATCACGACAGGTTATATGGAACTTAAAATATTCAATAAAACGATGAAGAAATCCTGAAGAAAATCGATTTATCGAGTAGACTACTAAAGAGAAAAAAAATATTAAACTCTCAAGAATTAGTGGAGCATTTTAAAATATGCAAATAGCTTAAAACATTAATAACTTCTGTCACAATTTTTTTTTAAATTTACGCCAAATCAAACTTGAATAAAATTGAATTGGGTAAGTAAATTATATATTCATATATTTTCAATATAAATTAAGTTTCAAATACCGTACCAACGTTTCAAATATCTTATTAGCTTAAATTGGCATAGTAAAAGTACGTTGCATCGCCTTTGGGTACATTTCAAATTGTCCAATGATACGCCATTAGTAATTGACGCAT